CCCGGGCAGCCTGGGAGAACATCCCAGTGCAAATGTCAAGAGACCAGCCCTCGAACAGGCAAAACCACTTTGCCAGCAGAAAAATAAGAACAACCCTCCGGCACGGCCGCTGGTCAAGTGGAGAAGGGCAGGAAAACGCAAGTGGCTCCTCGGGAACCCCTCGACAGCAGAAACATTGTCTCTGCTGTCCCCAGGGTGAGTTTGCATTAGGCACGGAGAGGAGAGGGAGTCTGCGTCCCAGTCTCTAGCTGAGACGACACAGAAGCTGGAGAGCAGCTGGGATCCTCTCCAGCAAATTTAGGTGGGCAAATTCTGGGTCACAGAGAAAACCAGGCACTGCTTTCCCCTCCCGGCAGCCAGGCAGGCCTGGGAACGGTCTTCATCTCCCTCGCTGCCTCCCCACTTTCCCAGTGAAACGCGAAACACAACTATTTCTGCCCCCAGTGACAAACACGGTCACCTTTCACTCCCGCACGGGTGATGGGGTGCAGCAGCACCGGGGACCATAAATGAATCACCATCGCTCGGCGGCTCCCGTGGGTCTCGAGCACAGCAGGGGGGGAAATGGGGCTGCCCACGCCAGGCCAGCGCCATGGGGGGAACCACAACCCCAGCTGCAAGGAGAGGCGTGGGGCTGCTGCACTGCGTTTGGCTTTTATTGGGAAAATGGGAATAAATAGCAGGGGCTGAAAGGGAGCAGGGAGGGAAGCTGGTGGGAAGCATCCCTGTGGCTGCAGCCCACGCTGCCTTTCCTTGCCGTGGCGGCAGCAGCCGGAGGCTGGCAGCCCAGGGGAACCTCGTCTGGCCCAGCCATGCCGAGGGCAGGGTATTCCCAGGGAGGATGGGTGGCACAGGGCATGGAGAAGCCCAGCCTGGCTGGGGAAGCTCCCTCCTGCATGGGGCTAGACCCAGGCTTGGGTCAGCATCTCCACCGCCCACTGCCAATGCTTCGGAGAATCTTCTCCCACAGGTCTCGATTCACCTCAACGGGCACCAAGAAGTTTCTGACAGGCAGGGGCTGCTACGCAAAAGCGCTAAAAAAGGGAAGGGAACTCCTCTGGGCCGGACACGGTGTCCTGACTTCCTTGCAGGGTCCCAGCCCATCGCTTCAACATCACAAGACCACTCTTGAAACATAAAGGAACAACGCAAGCTGTGGCTACCACACGCCAGCAGCTAAGCTTCTCTGATATGTGGCGTAATCCTTCCTGCCACCCAGGCTGGCCCTTCCAGTTTTTCCTTCAGGCTTCCAGCCTTTCTCCGAGTAAATTATACAGGACTTCATTGCACAAGTGCAGTATTGCATATTACGCATCTGCGACTCATTCCCAAAGGGACAAGGGTACCTTGATACAAGCCAAGCGTTGCCCTTTAAGCCAGGAGCTCTGCTCCCATTTCAGGGTGTCACTCGCATCACTCCCCGGACACCAGCGCTCGCCACATCGCTCCTCCACGGGCGACACATTCCAGAGCACAATCAAACCTATTGTGCAGCTCTAAAACAGTTTTTGCTTTAATCTGCCAGGGGAAAACACAAGGATTTTATATCTAATCCAACAAATCTGCACTGACATCTTGTGGAGATCATGGGACCAGAACAGCCGGGTGGGATTTACACGCGGGATTTGGTCCTGACGGACACCACGGCACTTCCCAAAGCACCCGCAGGCATGTCCACGGTGCGAACAAGATTTTTCTCCCTATTCACCCATCGTTTTAGCTCCTCTGCTGGGTCAGAGGGGTTAAATTAAGTCACATCCTTCTTTCTTCCGGTGCTCGGGCAGTGTTCAAAGAATTCAAACCTCTGCCAGGCACTGGCCACATCACCGCTGCAGAGTAATTGCTCCGTAGGGGTTAACACCAAGAGCTGCCACCCCAGCACAAATAATCTTGCCACCAACCCATACAATCATTCCTCCAGCTTCTTCCTAATGCCATTTTGGGGAGCACTTCCTAGGCTTTCTCCCTGGTGGGAAGTGCTGTGCTTCATCAGTTCTGATTCCTAGCAAACCATCCGTACCAAATAGGCTGAGAAGACCGAAAGCGCCATCAGATGTCAGACGAGGGTTGGGCTGGCACACAACCCAAGGGGCATCCCGCTCGGACCCCCTGTGCTAACATAATTCAGCCCTTCCTGGGGTTTTTTACCCTACTCGCTCCTCTTCTACCCTTTGGGCAAAGGACCATCCCTGAGAAGTTTGGGCTTTTCCAGTCTAATTCCTGACCTGTCCAGCTGTGGGGCTGGAGACACGGAACCGGTTGTGAGCAAGCGCTTTGGCTTTAACTGAACTTTGATAATCAGTTTGACAACTAGTAGGGCAGGGCAAGGTTGGCTCTTGGGAAGCAGGCATAAAGGAGGTACAGGGACAGAGACAGGCAGGTAATAAATGTTATGTCTTGAACTTGTCCAAAGCTATTGGACAGCTAACGGGTTTAAATTGAAAGCGGGGAGGTTTAGATTAGATATCAGGAAGAAGTTCTTCATGGAGAGGGTGGTGAGGCACTGAACAGGTTGCCCAGAGAAGCTGTGGATGCCCCATCCCTGGAAGTGTTCAAGGCCAGGCTGGATGAGGCTTGGAGCAACCTGGTCTAGTGCAAGGTGTCCCTGCCCATGGCAGGGGGGTTGGAACTAGATGATCTTTAAGGTCCCTTCCAACCCAAACCATTCTATGATTCTATGATTCTATTTTGCCTTGGACAATTTATATTCCTATTTAAAATTTTATATATATATTTGCCAAATGCCAAATCCATTAAATTACACAAAATACCACCCAACCAGTTACAAGAGGGGGGAAAAAACCAGCCATCATAAACCCCCATGTGACTCCAGCATAGGAATCACCAGTTGCAGCACTGACTCTGCTGTCAACAACGGCTGACAGCTTTTACCCTTTGGGCTGCAAAAGGGGTAATTTATACGCTTCTAAGTGACTAATGTGTAAGCAATGCTTTAAATTCCTGCAAGCCTACTCCTTTGGGACTACCAAGAAGCGTACACCCCAAAAAACCCACACACATAAAAGCCCCGCCACTTGGGCTCTCTTGACGTGCCTTGAGGACTCCCAGCATACACAGTTAGGTCTGATTATTCAAATCCTGTTGCCTAGTATTAACTCTCAAATCTATATTTAAGCACCTAAGTAGGAATTACTACAGCTTTCCAAAGATCCTAAGCACTGAGAGCTCTCGTTAAGAGCTTGTCGAAGTAGTGCTGTCCTAATGAATCTGTTTAGACGATAAAGTTTCCCTCGCTCCCGGTGCTGCGAAAGCCACGACCTTCATACACAGCGAAAGCTCCCGAACCAATTCCAATAGGAGCCGAGCTTGTAGGTGTCCTGGCTTCCACATCAAAACACAGCTCAGATGCAAATACGCAGAGGAGCTGTTTCGAAAAGCCCGCAGTCATTGCATCTTGGTTTAGAAAAGGCTTGACGTGCAGCATTATGCAGGTTGTGCATCAGTTTGGCAGAAACTTGGGAAGAATGGTGTTTTTGAAGTAAAACATATCTGAGCATTGAACTTCAAAACTATCCTAGTACTAAATGTAGATACTTGGAAATA